ACTTCCTTTCCCTTCTGCTTTTGATCTCTTATCAGGTCTTTTCAGGACTGTGGCAAAATGTGCGTCTATGTGCGTGTAAAAATGCTTTGTACACTAGGACAGCCATGTGTCATTAAACGTGAGCGTGTGGTGTAAATTTACTGTGCTCACGCAGTATCTACTGAATGAATGAATGGACAGGGTTAACAGCAAGGACAGGGTGTGTGTGCTGTAGACATGTGGACAACAGAGTCAAGCATTATTCAGTACTGGAAGGAGTATGAGAACATCACCGTAGACAAACGCACAGATCCTGTTACAGGAACATCTCCTAGAATAGATCTCTGACTCAGTCTCTTCCTATGCAGCTCTCTTTTTTGTCTTTTCAATTCTTGGCAGTAGTGCTGAACACTGAAGCGGAAACTGATCATATTCAATATATATAGTTCGATTTTGTGGTTGTGGCAGTGAGAGATTCAAGATCCATTCTTGAGTTTTAAAACAGCAGCTTGACAAAAAATCTCATATAAAAGGTTGTTACAACCTGGGTGCAGCCGTAACAAAAAGGTCCAATTTATTTTGGAGCTGTTGTTTCCAAAGCTTTCAACTACATCTTGTGTCCTTCCTCAGCAGATGGAGTTACTTGGAGACTAAATTGAACCTTGGGCTGAGATTGTTTTTGTCAAGCTACAGAACAAGTTGCTTTATGTTTGTGCTAAATCATCTTGAGAGTAGGTCTGATTTCTTCCCCAAATTTTCAAATAATTCTCTGTGGAATGCAGCTTAGTTACACTAGATTAACTTTTTACTAAAGTAGTATATAGTAGTTTGTGTGAATATATATTTGTAAATTGTATTTTTTTAACCTACCTCATGTTGTGTATGTTTTGAAACTATTTTATTGTTATTTCATGTAAATGTCTGCTACTGCAATTTCCCTTCAGGGATGAATAAAGTATCTATCCATCCACCCCAATGGTTACTTGACATTTCCCCCCAGAAGTCCCATGATGAACGAGGTATTTGTAGACATTTTCTTTTTCATTAAAGCTGTGTGAAGATTTTTTTATGTCATTATAACAACAACTAACAACTTCCACAGTGTCTTTTTAGATCCTACCACTGGGGAGGGGGCGTAAAAGTTGGGAATTTTCTAAATGTACACACAGCACAGTATACAGGAGCCATGTTTCTGGCTACCTGATGAATGTAAGTCTAATATTCACTCTCCGTTTAGCTGTTTTTGTCTTTTTAGCTAAATGCTTTGCTGTGTTCACCAGCTAGTTGCTGACTTTGTCGGTCCCCCTTTTGGTGTTGGTTCGAGTGCGCAGTGGGTTTACTTGAACAGTACCGCATTTCACTTGAAAACAGCTGCTCGCTGCTGCTGCTGCTGCTGCTGGGAATAAGGTTGATGAGAGAGAAGTTTGTGGATTAGAACAAAAACAATGAAATACACACTGCAGATTTGAGTGACTCTCGGTGGGTCTGTCACTACAAGCGACCCATTTCACATTATATATTTGGAGCCTTAAAATGTATTAGAATATACCACTACTACAGATGCTACATAAATCATAATTTCCTGTATTTCTAGCCCTGGTTTTGTTCTTCCTCTCTACATGTCTCAACCCTTTTCTCTCCCTTGATGTGCATATCTCACTTCCTCTCATATTTAATTCCCAGTCTCCCTGTGCAACCTCTCTCAGGCACTTTTTTTCCCACCTTCACACTTTTATCCTGGCAGACAGACTCGAGGAGATGTGAGCTATGTGAGGCTGGAGAGCAACAGTGGGTGTTAAAGTCTGCAGAGCTCGCTTACACTTTGTACCCTTACAGGCTTGAAATTTTCAGAACTTCCCCAAGAGCTAATTTGCAGCATGAGTGTGGGTTAGGCTGTCTATTTTGGGTCACATTAATATACAGAAAGAGTATTTCCTTTTCTCTTTTTTATTTGGCTGAAAGTAATTCAGCCTTCTCAAGGTCTTAATCCAATCCTGAACTTAAACAAACCCTTCTTTGGAATGTAATGTAAGTAAAGACTAGGAAAGTACACTTTTAGAACTCTACACCTGAGAAGTGGGTGTTATAAATAAATTGTATATCAACACAAGTAACATATATTTTGTTTTTATTCATATTACTTGTGTTGGTATACATCGCACACACTTGTAAATTATATTCATCATAATTTCATATTGTGCAAGTGCAACAGAATAAACCATGTGTTCCATCATAAGCTTTGCTTTATTATGATTTCACACAAAGAACAATAAATAGTCTCCATTGAGCATCTACTCATTTCACTCATTAATAGGTGCATTCAGTCTCTACTATAAGAATATCATAGGGCGTTTATACAGACTGCAAATATGTCTATGACCACAAAGTGGTGCCAAGTGTTGAAGAAATATTGTGAGCCAGGTTCAGGTATGAAGAGGTTTTGGAGACTGATGAAGACCCAGACAAGGAGATATAGTGCCGGCACACAACATGTGAAGTCATCGAATGCAAACACTAAATCTGAAGGATAACATCTTTTGGTCCCTTTTATGTTTCTGTCTTCCCCCTAGTTCCTGTAGGTTTCCCTCTTAGGTCATCTTTAGCTGGCCTTAACCTAGAACAACAAATCTATCTGATGTTGAGACTCCAATGCTACGTCATATTGGAACCTATTAAACTATTAAAGAGTTGTTTATTAATTATATCAATCAATGTGCAAAAACATCTGTCCACAGACAATATTCAATCACCACAAGAAGGAGCTTATTCTTGTGATGGACCCGTGGTTTCACACAATTCGTGTGGCTCTGTTGTGTTCACTGCATGAATCCAGTAAAGCACATCTAATGCTAAGAGTACATTTTCCTATTCTAATAGCTTTAGAAAAGGAATCAGGACCATGTGTACAAATATGTAAACCTATATACTTCACTTTTTAGTATATTTTCATGAAGTCCCTTTGCCCCAGTAGATTTGGCTAAAAGTTACACGAAAGCCTTGTCTCTTATGCACTCTTTTCCAAATTAACTTTCGTGACTGTTAATTTAAATGGTAATACACTATCTATCCCCCAAATGCCCTGGAGATCTACTAAAGCCCCCACCAATTCACACTACTTCCTGACAAAAAGTCCATTATGATAATGTTGCCTGGCAACAGGGCTCCAGACACCACAGAAAAAAAAAGATCCCTGGCTTATATTGATTCATACCGATATCGGTTCCAGGAAGTAACAGCTGGATCACTGTAAGTTTCAACCCTTCATTTCTTTTAAAGTCTGCTGCCAGAGGAGCACCAGCAGAAGGGCGACAGCAGGGAGCTTATTGACTCCAAGATGATGGTAGCGAAGGGAAGCTCCACGAATCAATATACCCTGCAGCACGGTACAATCTTACCCCATCTTGACTTAACCTTGCTTTATTCACAGTTCCCTTGTCACTTTATTCACTTTAATGAGCAACAGTGACTGCAGGGTTCAGTGCCCATTGGGTTGGCTCAATATTCTTTCTTTGCATCGCATGGGAATGTGTAGTTTCCTGGAAGCCTCTGAAGCCTTTTATCCCCCCCCCCCAAAGTGGCCTGTTGCTTCAAGTATTTTGATCTCCTGCACAAGTACCAGAAATGTAGAGTACACAGATGTTTACATATGACTTTCTGCATCATACTCCCTCTCTTTTCACCAGTTTTCTATTTCTCTGCTTGGTTCTCCTCATAAATTTGCAAACACATCCCTTTCACCTCCCTTCATGCCTCCTTCTCCCAACACCCATTCTAACACAGCAGAGCACCAGCTCCACAAGGTCCCATTGGCTGGCAGTGACATCACTTGTGCAAAGTGTTGAGTCAGACTCCTGCCTGCTCTCTTGGACAGCTGTTGCCCCCTTGTGGCGGTAGAGAAAACTGTGGTCATTTAAAAACACTGCTGTGGTTTGAAGTCTACTTATCAGCTGTCCTAAACATTCTTTTTATATGTTCAACATCTGCACAGACCAGAAATACACTGACCCTAGATCAGGGATGATGAGTGACTTTCAACTTATCCAAGTCATCTGATCCCAAACAGAAACTGTGGATGTTAGCAAAGTAAATTGGCTTATGTTTAGTCTGCCCGTACAAGCCATTAGAGTGAATTAGATTGTAAGCCTTCCTGATTATTAAAACTAACAGGATCATGTTCAGACTCTTGTCTCGGGCGCTAATGGTTACTTACTGCATGGTGTCATCTGCCCTCTGGTGTTCTTCAAGTTACTACAGCATCATCCTGCACCACCAGAATCTGATATATTGCTTGATGTTTACATAAGAAATAATTGTTCATTTTATTGTTCTGCTCATTTAATTATATTTGCATGTTATACCATGAATATGTGAAAAAATTATATTGCTTATATTAAATTTTATGTTGATATATTCAGCATTGAGACTAGGGCAGCACCAAATTATGTTTTTTTTATTATATTTTAATATGACAAGTATTTTTTCAATAATAGATTAATTGTGGTGTCCAATTGGTCAATTTAATGTCAGAAGATACTGGGAAATGCCACCCATAATTACTTTGATCTTAAGGTGATTAAGAGCCGACCAACAGTCCAAAACCAAAAGTATTCAGTTCACAATATAAAGATACTGACAAGCAGCAAATTTTCACATTTGAGATGCTAGAACCATAAACGAATGCTTGATAATGACTTAAATTATTAATTATGTTGTAATTGTTCTGTCTTTAGTAGTATTAATAATTATTAATATTGTAAATTCAATGTAATTCACACAAGTGTGAAAAGAAATTCTAGGGAGAGTCCAGATTCAAACCCAAATAAACACGTCAAGAAAGCTATTTAGGCATTTGGATTTTTGACATCAGCAAAAGTGGAGTAAAAGTGGAAACTGTGCAGCTAAAGTCATGTCCTCTAGAGGTAGAGAAGTTTTAATTATGCCGTTACAGAGAAAAAACTAAGTATTTAAAATAAGTACTGTGAAAATTACAATACGTCAGATCTGTATTTAGTGTTTCCTACCTTGCGGCTGGTGTAGTGGGCGTGTTTGGCCAGCTTTCCATTGAGTCCTTGGAGGAAAACCTCATCCGTGACTTTGCCCACATTCATACAGGCTTCGTCCAGCACAGAGAAGATGCCCTTATGCTGCTGCTCTACCAGATCCACAATAATCTGGTTATTGAAGTAATCAATCTAACAACAAAGGACACAGAGGATAAAAGACACAGTGTTAAGATAAGATATACAGTAGGCTATTTACTTTGACAAGCATGTAAATTAAAGTAGTCGTAGCAGTAGTTTATTGACTCTACAAAGCCAAAGCTATTGAACTTTGCTCTGTACTATTTGAAAAGATTGAGAGAAGTCCAGTGTCCACTGAAAGATTTGCCCCAAAGATGGCATTGGAAATGAAAACACATACCCCCCAACCATAAAGCAAATAAATTAAACACAGTAGGAACAAAAATATCCTTTCATACATGTTTCCAGGGGATGCCTTCTCGTTGATACTCTTCCTGTTCCTGCTTCAGCACCAGCTGGATGAAAAGCTGCTGCAGCTTTTCATTACAGTAGTTGATGCAGAACTGTTCAAAGCTACAGCACAAGAAACAGAGGAGAATGAATGTCATCTTCTGTTATGGATGCAACCACTTACATTTCTAACTCGATATAGAGAGGTGTGATCATTGCTGTGTGTTACAACCAATAAAATACAATAGTAAGGTCGTGAATATGCACGTGTGCTCACCACTCAGTTTAAAGTGGTACATCAGATTCATATTTCTACATCAAAGTTGTCTAAAATGTAGGGCTATGGCTTAGATTAGAACAATTTAGAAAAGTATTTTCAGTAATTTTGAAATTCTTTCCACAATTCTAACAAGTGTAATTGAGTAAAATCCCCTTGTCGCTCTCTTTGGAGTTTGTGAGGATGCAGATGTTCTGATGCTTTTTACATCGGTGGAATATGCTGTCTCATTCAAACCTGTTGTTCTGGAAAATCTCAAAACCATAGATGTCCAGCACCCCGATGACTGTGTTCTTCCCGTGGACTCTGGCGTCATAGTTTTTCACCTCAATGATGTCATTGATTCGTCCCACAATCCAGCAGAACAGACGCTCATACATGGCCTGAGGATGACAAAATGTTAGTTTTGGAGTCAGTGTGTGTGTACTAGACTAATTTGCTGTGCAGCTGGCGAGCAAGTGCCTTGCTCAAGGGCACAGAGTAGTCTAGCACACATGAAAATGAACAGTTGCAGATGGACCGCTGAGGGTGAAATGTCAAAATATCAGTGAGTCAGACTTTTGTTCGCAGCCCACAGTGCTGGTCCTGAATCTGCCTACATACATTGCTTCCTCCACAGTCTCCAGCCTCTGTCTGGAGTCATAACATTGTGACTCATGCTTGTGTGAATTGCAGTAAAAATATCGCCAAGCACTTAGCGAAATGTCACAACCCTGCAGGCATCAGCAAGCCAGTGCTGTTGTGTTTCTTTTTCTTTTATGTGCGATCCACTATAGAGGAAGTGCTTCACAGACAACATGTAATTTTCTATCTTCCCAACAATAACCTTGGCTAGAGCGTCCCGTCCGTAGCTGGCCTCTTGTGCCGTATGCTGTTTTTCGATGACGTCTCGACCAGTGGCCACAGTGCGGTAGAGCAGCGCCTTCTCCACATTTTCTTCTTTGGTGGACAGCAGCTCCCTGATCACAGACACCAGCTTTGTGTTCTCTATCAAGGTCACGTCACCGTCCACCCCGAATGTCAGGTTGCCCTACAAGAGATGCCAAATAGGATGCCGTATTCTTTATTGCATAACATTGTGGTTAAGGGATAGTTCAACATTTTTGACTTTCTTCCTGAGAGTAAGACAAGAACATTGATGCCAATTTCATGTCTGTTCAGAGCCAAACAAGCTGCCTCCTGTTTCCTGTCTTTTTTCTAAACTAAGCTAATCACCTGCTAGCTCTAGCATCTTATTCAGCCCACCAACATGGGAGTGGTATTAATCTTCTCATCTCACTCTTGACAAGAAAGCAAATAAACATATTTTTTTAAATGAGAAGGTTACTGGAAACGACTATGGAATTTGGTATTACAGGGTAAATGTACAATTGCTACACTTCCAGTTAATTATATTTTATCAATTGCTAATGCAACCTAGAGACTTTATTTTTATTTATGTGTACTGTATTGTTGTCCTGCCTTTTTGCATTTAACAAAAGTAGGTTGTGTGTTGTTGCTTCGTGTTATTTGCATGGCTAGCTGTGTCTAAATGGTGTCTGCTGTTACTGTACTGATGTTTCACTGTTTCTGGATGTTTTGCATGGTTTTCTTCTGTTTTGTTGTTGTTTTTATAATGTATATTTTATCATTTTTAAGGTTTCAAAACATCTTGACAAGGACTGCAGTTGAAAACACTGCACATTTACAGTAATGTTGATTAATGTGTGCTGTCCTTATAAATAAATAGAATATAGAAATAGAAATATAGCAGTTCAGCTGAAAATTGCAGCTAATAAACAAATAATGGGGTGTAAATTAAACAGTTCTAAGCATATTTCACTGAAAATAAAATCCTGCTTATAAACTCCTGGTCCACTTTGCCAATATGGCACTAAATTCTACACACACAAAGTCCATGCGGGGACGCAGCTGGGGTGAGAAATGAGCAGGGATTTGATGTTATGGAGTATTACCAGATGTAGGATAGTGGCCAGGATCTTGTAAACAGTCTGAATCTCATCCCCCGTGAAACCGATCACTTTCATGGCATCGGCTACAGCTTTGAAATCAGCCCCATCGTTGATGGAGGACTGGAGAGAGAAAGGACAAATGTTGGAGAAGGATGGCGACAAATTACTGAAAGGAAACAACGTTAGAGTTGATTGGATCAATCATTGCAATTTCTGCTGAAGCAAATATCAATTTCAAGTGTGTGTGTTTTGTACCAGTCACCGCCTTTCCATTTCTCTTCTAATGAATGTAGCCAGGATATCATATTCCCACAGTTAATTAAATCACAAACTGATGTTCAACTGTGATGCCTCGTTATAAAAAACTGCTGAGGCACGCAGTGTACAAACGGCGACCTCAGCTGTTTGGTTGTATTGTGTTCCATGACGTTAGGCTGTTTGTTGTGTGGTTTTGTTCCTTCTCATTAAGCTCATGGAAAGACGGCAGCACACAGCAGAAGTCTAAATAAAGATACCTTAAAAAAACACTCCTCTGTACAATAATACAGAGAGGCTGATTACTGAATTACTATCTCTAAAGGTGATCTGTGTGGTTTGTTTAATAATATGTAAACTGTGGTGAAGAAACACATCTGTAAGTTGTATGTGAGTTGAATTGTATGTTATTTGTTTGGACTACCTTAATCTGGCCTCCAACTTTGATGTAGGTGTAGGCTGTTGGGTCCTTCTGAATGTGAAGAGAGCGTAACAGGGAATCTGGAGCTCCTCTGAGCAGCTAGTGGAAACCAAAAACACACTTGACTTACAACCATTCATACATTATCTTTATTATATTTTTACTTTATTGTACAGTAAACTAATGTACTTGGTGCCAACTGTAATTTCTGACCTGTTTTCTCATATATTATGTACTTAATGCAGGCTGAGCCACTTGCATGCCCATTATGTTTTAATTTAATTAATCTATAGCAAGGACCTCTTCATTCTTTCACATCCAGCATCCAACACACACAACTGTGGCCTAATTTTCAACTCACTAAACTCCTACACGTAGAAACAAATTGGCCTCTTGATGACTCAGAAATTCTGCATTGATTAATTTTCCTGCAGGTCAAGTCCTTCACATGCGAACATGCAAAACAAAATAAATGACTGCATGCACACACACTGTACATATTGTTTCTTCGCACACAAACACACACACACACACACTTACCTGGTAGTATGAATGAAAGCTCCTCTCTCCTGGCTGTTGGAAAATGACCCTGGACTTTTGGGAGGGGGGGGAAACACAAAAAAAAAACAGCGTAACATAACAGCGGTTTTAAAGCCACTTCTCTGAGTAAAAAAAGGGTGAGGGATGGTCACTATATTACTCCTTAGGCCAGTTATTACCAATGTTTTACACTTGTGACCCTTAAAAGTGGAGCTATGTTTACCTGCAACCCCTGGTCACAGGTTGAGATGTGAGATATTTAACAAAAGAGTGATGTTCCTTTCTCAAATATTTTGTTTGATTAGTTTCTGCACGCCTTAAAAGGGAAGGCTCTCTAGTATTTCACAAGAAAAAAGGCAAGATTAGAGAAAAGTCTACCTAATCTGTGCAGCAGAATGGGTTTTTAATTTACTGCAGTGTCTTGTTTATCATCAACACTACTGTGTGGAAATTATCAGCACAGAAACACTTGGCTGAAACAACGCATTATATGAAACCTATTTTGTTTGTTATGAGAAAATTACATAACATATACTCAAGATACAAACTAGAATGTAAAGTTTAAACAAACTGCCTTCTACAATAGTACAAGTACAATAGTATCTGCACTTAATATACAGTCTTCATTATACCAAATTACTTCACCATCACCAGGTAATAGGCATGACTGCCCTTCGTTTCATCTCTGTGGCTAGTTGACACGCCTTTACCTTTTCCAGCAGGTAGTTGTTGATGTGGCCTCCGATGGGATCTCCTTTGAAGTCAAAATTGATGTCCATGTACTTGCCAAAGCGGCTGGAGTTGTCGTTGCGGTTGGTCTTGGCGTTCCCGAAGGCCTCCAAGACACAGTTGGATTTAAGCAGCATGTTTTTTACCCTGTGGGGAGGCAGGATTAGGTTAAGAGGTCAAGCACGGTACAACCAAATTGAAAGAGTGACTCACAATGTGAAGCGGTGTGATAAAGAGCCCCATCTGTAGGCCCACATGTGCCACTACACCAAGATCAAAACCACTACAGCCTTCGACTTTATACCCTCTTTAGATCAGATAAATAAATTAGACAAAAGTACCACTTGGTTTTTAGACTCTTAAAAAATGTTCTGTAACCCAAATTAGATCATGATGACCTACATTATATGAAATTATATTCTACACTGTTATGTCCTCTATAGTGTTAGTTCAGTGTGTGTACATTTGCAGCTAGGTAACGTAGTAGCGGAAGGCAGCAGTGGGGGTTTATATCCAGCAGATTTTATACAGTATGTTCAAATGTATCATTAGCAGTTCATATTCACAAGCATTTAACTGTAAAGTTGACTGTAAAACTGGTCCCCCTGTACGAATCTTATTTCTATCTCTTAACATTAACATTTTGTTAACTTTAAATCAAAGGGTATCGCTTGCTTTCCTCTTAATATAACCATTCTGTAATGTGGTGTAATTTCTCCTCTGGTGTGGAACACACACTTAGTTGCCAGCGATATGGTCTATAGCCTTGTTGAGCTGTAACTATATCTCACTATGATCTAAGAGACTTTGACTACTGGCAGGATTAATTCTTGGAATATGACAATGACACTTTACTAACTCTTGGAGTGCAGGTTGCTTCCATCTAGTCATAGATATAACCTACTAAGGTCTACTAAGGACCAGTAGATCTAAAAGCTAATTTGTCCCTGCTGCCATCAGCTTTCTGAACAGCATTGAGTCATTTCCATGTATTTTGTGTGTGAGGTTTATATGTTATTTAGTGTGCTGATTGTACTGCTGGCTGTGCAACAAATTTGCCCTTTGGGATAATAAAGATTTACCTTACCTAACATTAACTGCAATAAATAAGATAAGAAAAAGTGACATGTCATAAACATCACTGCACTGTCTATTTGACTCTAATAATGTGCCTGAGAAACTCTGTATTGGAAGTCATTTGGAGCATTTGTTTTACACTTTATGGTGGACTTGTGACACCATTTTCACCTGACGTTAAAATATCATGTGTATCTGGGTAACTTGTACCCTCCAGTGAATTGTTTGTGGTGCAACAATGCAGGAATCTACGGAAGAAAACCTCCCTAGCTGATATTATTGGCTGTTTAGTCAACAAACTAAACTTGTGCACATTTTCTGCAGTGCGCTGAGGTTTAACAGTGTCAAAACAGCAGCTCACCTTTCAACTTCAGCCCTCTGATTGGGATTGGTGATAGCAGCAATGTATTGCATTATATACTTGCTGGCTTCTGTCTTTCCGGCTCCACTTTCCCCTGCAAAAAAAAAACAAACAAAAAAACCCACAATGCAAATATTATGCTTGCTTGTCTGCAAATTAAACTACCAAACCTCATGTGATTTAAATAAAGGAACATACGAATGGAGTCAAAATTGTAAACATTGGAAAAAATGTAATAAAGTTGGTAATTTTTGTCATCATTTATTTGCCTTTCTTGATTTTCTGTTTCATACTCATTTTCATTTTAAAATCTATCCTGTGTGTCACAAAAATGTTTCAGTCCACTAGACCAATGTTTTAGTCACATTATTAGACCAAGCTGCTTTTCTGTCTTGGTATGGATTCATAACATGAGATGAGGGTTCAGAGGGGCTCAGTTCCCCCTCTGACCACTGAGTGGTGCTTCATCCTCTGCATGGTTTTTCAAATTAAACATTTGTTGTAGAAAAAAAAATGAGCTTTGTGCTTGTCGTCTCGGTCTTCCTGTGTTACCTGAGATGACAATACAAGTGTCTTTGTTCCTCCTCTTCATGGCTTTGTAAGCAGCATCAGCGATGGCAAAGAGGTGAGGCGGCCTCTCGTACAGCTCCCGGCCCTTGTACTGCTCTATGACGTCACGGCTGTAGATGTTCATGGCACGGTAAGGATTGACAGACACCACCACCTCTCCGATGTAGCTGTAGATCCTCCCCTTCTCAAACCTGAGGACACACCATTTAAGAATACAATTAAATATAACATATAAAAGAAGATTCCTCAATTTTTTATTACCATTATGAGTTCAGAACTACTCCGCATTTTTTTAAAGTTGCGTCTTTCTGTGTTGAAGTTCTGTATATTTAATAGCTGTTTCATGCCAATTCAAGCTACCAATTTGAAATAAATAAAATAAAAACACAAATTTTAAATGCATTTTGTTTATCCCGGCAAAGGTGAAAGGTAAGGTGACCTAAAATGCCCGCTATTGGCTGAAGAAAGATGTTGCTGTCCAAATCGAAAATGGAAGGTGGATGACAAACACAGGCTGTTTCAAGAAAGATGCACTGCAAAAACTAAAATCTAAGTAAGATTAATTATCTTAATTGAAGGAAAAATATACTTGTTTTTTGTCTGACAATATATTTCTTCTTACCAGGCGGCTTTTATGTTAGAGAATTTTACTTGTTTCCAGTTTTTTTGTCCTTAAGTAGCAAGTGAAATATTCTTGTTCTGTTGGCAGATAATTTTTCTTATTTTAAGTAATATAGATTTTTTTTCTTGTTTTTGAGAGCTCAGTTTTTGCAATGTGGACAAAGCAGTAGGCTAGGCTATTTTTGTGCTACCTGCCCAGTATGCAACAACAAAGTTACAGTTTTAAAGGAATATAACATCAAGCGTTATTACTGGACTAAACACGGAGAGCAACGAGAATAGGCTACCAGGGAGACAAGAGGACAACAGCCAGGCAGCTACAGAGGGGATTTATATCACAACAAAGTATTTTTCATAAAGCCAAGAAGGATGCCGAAACTGCAGTTGAAGCAAGTTATGTGATGAGTGAATTAATCACCAGTTTTAAGGATTGCGTGTTGAAAGTGGCAGATTTGAGCTCATTTGTGGCTGAGTGTGTACTTAAGTGTACTTTTTTATCAGACAGCTTTAATTTACAATTATTTCAGGTAAACACATGAGTACTTTAATGCTGCTGTGGCCCTTCTATGAGATGACAGTACCAAAGTGGCCCCTGGATGATTTGAGTTTGAGACCCCTGCTCAAGGACATTCAAGGACATCCATCATGCAGGAAATTGTATAAGGAAAACATAAATATTATCCTTTATTAAAGTTATGTTAAGTAATGTTGGAGAAACTAGCAAGACACAGCTGAATTGTGAAAGTATCCTAAAGTAAATCCCACCCCCTCCATTCAGGCCTCCCTCCAAAGCTACTTCCCCAAAACACACTTTCATGCGCAGTGAGTGCACAGGCAGAGTGTGTGCAGGTACAAGGTGCAAGGTATATTTATTTGTCACATTACAACAGGTAATTGTAAAGTGAAATTGAGTTTGCAACTCCCTTCTGCTATGTAGCAGACAATATACAGTAAAGTACAGTTTAAAAAAAATGGTAACCAGAAATAAACTACATTCAATGGAGCAGCGCTGAGGATGAATTAGAGTTAAAGAGTTTGATAGCTTGGGGGAAAAAGTTGCTCTGCAGTCTGGTGGTGTGGCAGCAGAAACTTCTATATCTCTTCCCAGAAGGCAGCAGGGTGAACAGGCTGTGGCTGGGTGGGTACTGTCCTTTAGTATCCTTTGGGCTCTACGTAGGCACCTCACCTCACCGATATCACTGATGCTCGGGAGATGGGTACCAATGATTTTCTAAGCAGTTTTAATCACCCGCTGCAGAGCCCTCCGGTCCTGGTCCGTGCACATCCCATGCCAGTTAGTGATGTTTTCAATCAGGATGCTTTCTATTGCTCCTCCGTAAAAGCTGACAAGAACTTGGCACGGGAAGGTAGACAGGAAGGCCCGCCAATTATTTTATATTTACGAAACTGAATTCATGTTGCCCATCTGTCCAAACACACACCATTTCATGTTACTATCTCACAGGTTTTTTTTCCACACCTTCTATCAATAAGGAAGTCATTATATTTGACAACAATAATGTGTTGAGACAAAGATCCAGTTTCTGCGCCTCTCTCTCTCTCTCTCTTTGACTTCATGTTCTTGTGTTAACATTGCAGCATAAAATGCTTTTTCAGACAATAGTATTCTTCCAACTTTGTGTCACCAGTTTGTGTTTTTCCTACCCGGTTGTAAACAAAGCCCCCCTGCTCAAAGCCAGCTCCATAAAGAAACCGTTTTTCCAGTTTGGTGTGGAAGAACTTTCCTGGCCTGCACAGAGCCTTAACCTCAACCCCATCCAGCACGTTAGGGATGCACTGGAACATAGACTGTGAGCAACATTATCACCAAACATCAGTGTTGGACCTCACTAAAGCTCTTGTGGCTGAATAAAAGCAAATCCCTGTAGCCAGGAAGGACTGAAACCAGAAAAGTGGAGGCTGTTATAGCAGAAGATTAATGCCCATTGTTATGGAATGACATGATCAAAAATCACACCTGTCTGCATGTGTGCATTCAGGTGTGAAATCCATGTGTGATAATTATGTTATATATTGTTCTTTTTTTCCTCTCACTCTCACTATGTTTCTATCCCTGTCTCGCTCTCTCGGCTTCTCCCTCTCTGCCCCAGGCTGCCAGCCTGACTTCCTTCCTCTCCAAAGAGGACTAGGATCCCAGTTTTTCTCGACAGAAGAATGGCCTCTTTCTTCACAGCTGCCTTGCAAACAAGGCCAAAAGCATTTTACTCCAAATCAGTCCTAATAGGCCTACGTAAAGTTTGTGATAGTGGGTTTGATGCAGTTGCTAGATAAACTCAACCACTCGTATATGTTTTTAAAGAACTGCCAGATATTGAGATGTCTTTTTTTAAACTAAAAAAATAACTTTAAACCAAGCACTGAGGGATGATGACTTTGGTGTTGCTGCAATACGGACTGTGAGCATCAACCAAAACGTCATGCATGAGGCTGTTGATAGACGTGACACTCTTCTTGTGTTTTCTGAACCCTGACTTTTGAAATGGAGAGGAGCCTTGGCCCTAATCCATCTATCTTCTCTAAACTAAAAAGTACCACACTAACAGTGTCAACATTTTATACTGGTGTACTGGTCATGTTACCCACAAATAAAATAAAAAAACAGAGTAGGGCAATGTAAGTAGGGCTTTCGTACTATCATGACAGTGGGAGCAAAAGAGGGTGAGGAAACAACACAATGCTGTGGGGCAGGATTACATGCATTATAGTAGCTAGAAACAACAATGCTTTACCACAACTGTATGCATTTAACACCTTACTTAAGTAGCACATTCTCTGATTAGCTCATCCCTGTGTGTTCAGATTTGTGTGCAAGAATTCATAACTGTGTGTCAGGCCGTGCACAAACTGGCACAACTGGCCGACAATGACACGGGATGCTGATGTGTCCTGGACAGGGTGGGACGACCATCAGATGGTTCAGTGTCAAATAATGCTCCTTTCTATCCGAGAATTTAAACAGTAATCAGTGACAAATTGAGTTTTTGGCATGTTTAGGGCCCATTTACCACAAATCACATATACTTTATATCACAATTAATCATTTGGCAACTTGGCAAATTTGAACTTTCCCTACTGTTTCAGGCAACATTATTTTTGTCAATGTTTTCATTGGAGTGGAGACTGATTTTCAAATCAGTCTCCACTTCAAGGACAGGTTCAGATCTCCACTTTATTAGAGTGACTGAGACAGATGAGGTCTGATATTAACTACACATAAACTTTGAATTATATTTTTTAACAGAATGAGTGGATGAAGTGTGGATTTTGTCCCCCATCACTAAACATTAGAAGCGTATACAAAAGGGGTCTGACCTTTAATAGTCAGTATGAACGGGAGGAAAGAGCAGCAAGAAAACCTGTTTCAATGTTCATATGTGCACCTGACTACAGTTTAAGACACCCATCCAAACACCCATTACAAACTTTGTACAAACTTTGATATCTAATCCAAGGAAGTTGCAAGCTGTGTTAAAAAATGCATGGAAACCAAGACCTGTCCCAAAAAAGTATACATAATTTGTATGTAAGAGCAAAAAATTCCACATGTAGTCCAAGAATGTACTCTAAAATGTGTATGAATTACATTTTAAATTACTTTAAATATATAAAAGCAAATCTGACTTAACATAACCCCCCCAAAAAAAATCATCTCTGAGTGTCACACGTGCACACTTCAAATGCTTTTGAGAAGTGTATAGAATAAGCAGGTTCACTATAATTTCTCTAAGGAGCTAAGCTAACTGTGCTGGCTCTTGCTCCCCTGGTGCTACAGAAAAAGACCCATTGTGCCCTCCCTCCCCTCAGTCAGGAGGCTGCTGTGTGCCCGCTCCATTGTTCAGATGTCAATCGGAGGTCTTTGTCTGAGACAGGCCCTCCGTCTCCCCCTACACCGGCCAACACGGCGAGCTGCCCACTTAACGCACATGTATAATAGCATCTGGGGGATTGTCAACAATGGTCTATATGAGGAGAGGAGTGTATCTGAAGTCCCAGCAGGCAAGGCATAGAAAGAAGGTGACAGTGTCTGCTATCCATAATGACAACATCCACAAGGTCCTTTCCATACTAGACACTGAGCTGGTTCCAAAGAGGGTGTTACAGGAAACAAACCTGAACATAGGAGACATAAAAGCTTGGTAATACTGTTCAAATGCAATGTATTAATGTGGGAACATCTTTTGGAAGAATACCAATTATTCCTCCAGTAAAAGACTTTGAGAATCTATGCCAAGAAGCACTGAAGCTGTTCTGGAGGAATGTGGTGACCCAGCACTTTCTTTACTGTCATTACTCGCCCATCTGAATATTGCTATTTTAATATTTTAAATTACATTAACTGCAAAGAGCAACAGCTGCGAGCACAAAAACAATTCTCTAAAGATGTTTTCCTCTGGCTCAAAAGCTTATATCAAGTTTTTATCACCTTGTGGGTTTGAGTAATTGTGATTCATTTATTAGTATGTTGTGTTGAATGTCCTGTCTCTCCTCCTGCCCTTAAAGCTCACCAAGGCAACTTTTTGTCAATGACAATAAAGTTAATTTATTCAAC